CATAAAGATATAGAAGATATAAAAAGCATGCACGACCAACAGAACGATTGACATAATCCGAGCGCCGGAAATCTTCCATGGAAGCGATTTGACTTTGTTTGAGCAAAACAGAAATCAAGTGGCACAATCGTTTCTTACATCTTCTTGCATAACCATAATGGAAACATTTTGTGCACCATAACCATGAAAAGGTACTGCATTTAACCCTTACGCACTTATTAAAACTGTTTCTCACTACCACGGCTAGGAGATTCTTTTCGGCTTCTGGTTGGCCAAGAGATCTTGTCAAGCCCTCTATTTGTGTCCCGGTGTTAGGCATCTGCATTGCCCTAACTTCGTTTGCGCTTTCTTCTCTGTTCTAAACTCCCAAACTTAATTTGAGCAACGGGCATCGATGGCGACAGTCCCTCGGTCATCGTGACACCATTGCTCGGTTTTAGGGTACACGAATAACGACAGAAAGCGTTGAATACAGTCTGAGGACCTATGTATCTTGCACGGAATTTGGCAAGGTGAGTGCGGCTGTTTCTACATGACCCCAATCTCCGGTGGCAGTGGTCTGCTTCCGTAAACTGAAAAGACTTTTCTTCAACGTCACCCTCTCGACCGTGCTCGTAACATTTTGTGAATGGAGCGCACACCGAACTTAACGCTGTACCGTCGATGAACATGGGGTACGCTCGCGAGGTGCGTGCAAGTTTTCTCGAGATAATTGCTGCTTCAGCTTGTAACATTTTCTAACTGAATTTATCTTAATATTGATATTTCAAAGTGTTGACAATGACTAAATTTTATTAACTACAACGCTGAGTTGAAGGCTCATTTCCGCCGCCGGGTGTGGCTGAAAATTGTCGAAAAGCTTGTTCTATTGTTTTTTCTGAATCACGATCTCTTGAGCAATACCAGAGAGCCATGAACCTATGTTGACCGTCACAATGCGACTAGATTCTTCTTATTTTAAAAATTAGTACATAATGTAGCCGGGAAGAAGCCTTCAATTTCTGAAAGTTGAAATATGCTCATGCATCAATTTCGAATCGTTGAATCGTTGACCGACTCGCTCCGGCAAAAGGCCCATCTCGACTTTGCTGTTTTCAGTTCTCGACAAAAGACACACTCGTTGGCATGGGATCCTCAAATAAAATGTTTATAAACACCGATGCATGAGCATGTTTCTATGTTTATAAACAGTGATGCATGAGCATGTTTCAACTTTAAGCAACAGAAATTGAAGGTTTCTTTCCAGCTACATTATGTACTAATTTTGAAAATAAGAAGAATCTAGTCGCATTGTGACGGTCAGCATGGGCTCATGGCTCTCTGGTATTGCACAGGAGATTGCGATTCAGGCAAAGCAACAGGACTAACTTTTTGACAATCGCTAGCCACACCTGGCGACGAAAATCAGCCTTCAACTAAGTGCTGTAGATAATAAAATTGAGTCAATGTCACCACTTCGAAATATCTATATTAAAATAAATTCAGTTCCAAAATGTTACAAGCTGAAAGCAAATATCAGGAGAAAACTTGCACACGCCTCGCGAGCGCACCCCGTGTTCATCGACGGTACAGCGTTAAATGTGATGCCCACTCCATTCACAAAATGTTCCGAGCACAGTCGAGAGGATGGCGTTGGAGAAGTCTTTTTGATTTAGGGACGCAAGCCACTACTGCCGGAAATCGGGGTCATGTGGAAAGCGATGGAGCTTAAAGACACTGCAGTCGCACTTGCCTTGCCGGATTTCGTGCAAGCTACACAGGCTCTCGGACAGTATTCGATGCTTTCTGTCGTTATTTGTCCACCGTATAACTGAGCAACGGTGCCTTGATGACCGGGGGACTGTTGCCATCCAAGCCCGTGGCTCTAATTAAGTTTGGGAGTTTAAAACGGAGAACAAAACACGAACGAAGTTCGGGCAATGCTTACACCGGACACCGGCAAAGGGTCTCACCTGGGGCTTTCACTGTCTTTAACGCTCCAGCAAGGGGGAAAGCGCCGGTAGCCCTTTCCCCTTTTATCTCTCGCACTCTTTTAGTAAGACAGTTTATACACGGTTCTGCTCTGCTTTAACCCCGTTAAACAAACTTCTTACCAAGCACCGGTGCACTGCGGAAAAGCAACACCAGCGGAAGCAAGCTCCATGGGTGTTGCTTCTCCGCAGTGCACCGGTGCTCCGAAAGAAGTGCACTCAACGGTGCTGCGAGAACAAAAAGTATGCACGAAAACATCGTTCGAGTTAGGCGGCTTATGAATACATTGAAAACATAGCGGGTCAACCAAAGTTCTGAACTTTGTTTGACTTAACCAGAAGTATTAAATATCCGAGTTTGAATTATCGCGAGCCTATTGTATATACTAAGGGAGATCTGGCTCAATCCAATGTGCTTAATATCACTGAATAGTTGTGCGATTTTAATTGGCTAGTTTTATTTCTCAAGCACTTGATATGTTCGGTATTCAAATCAATGCAAATTTTTACTTTGGTTCAATTTATGGGGGGTTTATTTTATATGTCATGTTTAGTAGGAGATAGGCTAGTTGGTAAACACGTTGCTCACTTACTTTAACCATGCATGTCGTATACAATTTGTTGCGATTGTGTTTGAATGCAAATCCTCTTCTGCTCTTTATTTCAAGCTGCCCTTACATGCACCATGAAGATACCGAGGAGGTCTTCAATTGAATGACAACTTCAAGCACAAGCATGGAGGGGCATCTAAATGGCCAGCACAAGGACAACTCTAATGTAAATTTTCTCCAAAGTTAAAGCAAGGCATGTCTTCTTCCAATAAAGGTATTGTGGCGAAACTTCTTAATTGGTTCGTTTGTTGAGCTGTCATCTATAGGAACAGCCGAGCTCACACAAACAAAATCCTGGCATTGAGAAGTACAGGTTGTGTGCTCTTTCTCTTTTGCAAAACATGAACTTTTTGGCTGAGGATGAAAGATTATTCAAGTTCATATATTAAATGACGGAGCTATGAACTCTCCATACCAATCTACCCCAAAAGCTTCATGTGCCTTAGGCTTGCTTGAATATGGAAACTTTTTGCACTAAATAATAAAGCACTTGACCTTTACGTCTTTTTGAACTGGGCTCTCCGTAAAAACAAGGCATATAATTTTATAGAATGGCGAAATGTCTGTAGCCCACATTATGAACAGCTATCCATATGAAATGTGAAAGCTGTCCGCGCTAAATAACGAAGGACTATACCTTTCCGAATGATATAAGGCCAAAGCTACGAGTCATCCGCACCAGTCCTGCACCTCCGATACGTCAAGTGACACCCCTGGCAGATCTAGAGCTCTGCCAGGTGAGTCGCATGATGTATCGAAGGTGCAGGGGGTACGGACGGCACGAGGCTTTGGCCTTATAAGGCGGAAAGGTATAGTCCTTCGATATTTAGTGCAAATAGCTTTCACATTTCCTACGGATAGCTGTCCATAATGTGGGCTACAGACGTTCCGTCATTCTACGAAATTATATGCCTTGTTTTTACGGACGGTCCAGTTTCTAGATTACGGCAAACCATACCGGCAATATTGAACCAGCAACTTTTATCCGTAAAATGGAAAACGGATAACTGTCTGTGAAGTGAGCTACGGACGTTTCGTCATTTTACGAAATTATATGCCTTGTTTTTACAGACAGTCCCGTTTCTAGATTACGGCAAACCATACCGGCAATATTGAACCAGCAACTTTTGCCCGTAAAATGGGGTGAAAATTTTTTACAGTGTAGGTTAGGTCAGAGCCTTTTATACTGGGAGAGTTCGGCGGGTGGGAGGGGCTTACGGCCCGCTAGGTCTAGCGGACTCAGCGGGCGCCGCTTCCGCCATGATGTGCCTCCCGGCGAGTGGGTCCCCATTGACATGCGATGTATACACGTGTAGGTTTTGCCGTTTGCGCTTTTGTTGGCGTAAGGAGAAAGTCGAAAAATCAAGCATTTTGTTACGTTCATCATACGCTAATTATAAACTTACCTCGCACAATCGAGAACTCGGCTTCCAGTCAGCCCTTCTTGGTTTGGTTTCCCAGATCTTGTGCCTTGCGCGGTTTTCTTTTCCTTGCGGGAACCGGTACATCCTGAACCCCTTTTTCGCGTTGTTCGAGCACCCAACGGCACTGCAGCCCCCCATTTCTTTTTCATCTAACGTCTGGCAGAGCGCAGCGCAGAACGATCATTTTCATCGTCGTCTCTCGCTCCATGGACTCTAGCGAGCCGACTGCCGGCTCGAGTCAGTAGGGCAAACGGGTTTTATCAGCCGCCACCAGCCTTACACCAAACAAGGGTGAAGCTTGCAATTTAAGGTTATAATTATAATGCAATTAAATGCAAAGGCGCAATCAAGCTAGACGGCAAGGCACATCATGGCGGATGCGCACAGTTGCCAGACTGTTTGATCAGTGCTGCCAGACTGGCGGTTGGATCAAAGAACCGCCGAACTCTCCCAGTATAAAAGGCTCTGGGTTAGGTCACTCGTGCAAAATATTTCAATGCCCCACTAATTGACTCTTCTTTCTTCCCCTTTCACATTTTGCATCGATGACTAAAACAGTTTACTGGACCAAACCGTGACCAATCAAAATGCCATTTCATTTAGAAACCAACGTAAACAATTGCAGAGCTAATGACCCTGCCTTATTTTTTATTGTATCATTGTAGCTCGAGATTGTGAAAGTTCCATTTTTGCATGATGTCTTAGTGATCACCTTTGTCGGTTTTGTTATCACTTCATGTCTTTATCGAATGCCATCCCGCTTCACTTTTTTGTGTTTCTTTTGTTCTCTTTTTTGTTACGTAAGATGTGTATATGGGTTTTTTTTTTGTTAATCACTCCTCATGTAATGCATGCATTGGGTGCCCTTGAGGTAAATAAAATGAAATGAAACGAAAAATTTGGACTGGGAGATAAGAGCTGGAAGAGCGTGCGGGTGTTGTTGGCAGGACGCTGCAGGGAACCAAGAATCCTTGTTGTTTCTTTCTCGCTCGTAGATATGCGGCTTATTGCAAGCGAGATGAAAGCGATCAAGGCGCAAGTCACGTCCGTAAACAACCTTCTACGGGACATCGAACGGCGGACAAGTGGCGCGGCTGACGAACTCGAACGGGCGTGCCCGTTACCGATGTCGTGCCTTCTTGTTGACGCAGTTGTCACAAAACTAAAAATCGTGACCAAACAAGAGGTGAGGCCCAGTCACGGTGTATGAAGACTCGCCGTCTTGTACACCTTACCATAGCCTCCTATATCCTGACAAAACCTGGCAGATCGCCACGAGAAGCGGCCTCCGAAATGGAAAAAGTGGAGCGGCAGACAACGAACGAGAGGAGAGCCACGTGACTGGCGCCCGCAGCGGCGAGACGCCAAAACACACTTCTTCCAAGCGAACAAGTGTGTTTCGGGTCCTCGCCGCTGCAAAAGCTGTGCGCTGACGTCCAGGTTCCCCGAAAAATGGCTCTTTGATGCTCTGTGCTACGCGATCCTCGCACTGCAAATCTGCAACCTGTAACTCTATATGGCTCCGTAGTCGAACTGCCAGGCATTGTGAGTATAGAGGAGGATATGACCATAGTCAAGATAATTATAAAATACACTTAGTATTATTTTTAGTTTTTCTTAGTATTGAATTAAACTACTTTACTACAAGGGCATGTCGCACGTCAAGTGAAACTGAGCGGCTTTTTGCCTTATTTGTTTTGTTTGCGGAGCGAAGGAAATGAAGGTTGATATTATTACTTGAGAGGAGAGTAATAGACCGTTACTTGAGAAAATAACCTTTACTTTTCAGATTACTCCAGATTTTAAAGACAACAGATTTTTCTGGCTGTTAGAAAACGGGCCTTTTGTGCAGTAAAATTTTAGATTAGAATCATCAGAATAAAGACTACTCATCTTTTAAATCCGCCATTTTCGGCAGACCGCATCGACTTGTCGGAGATTGAGAAATTTTTGGCAGTTTGATATTTTAGACCCATGTTACGGATAAAAAAACAAACAGGACGCGGGAAGGCTAAAGAAACGCGTTTTTTGTGTAAGGTTCGTCAAATTATAAGGCACTGGAGAAGTGCAGCCTTCTGGGTTAAGTCCTTATTTTGAACTCTTTTTGTTCGCCTTCCACATTGAAAAGCATGCGGGAAGGGCCTTAGAACGCACCTGGTATCGCTGCGCCGCAGCGTTCTTCCGCAACATAAAGCTCGTCTGCTTTCCTCGCCGTCACCACGGCAACGAACGCCGAATGAATGGAAGCACGCCAGGTACCGCCGCGTGAAGCCAGCAACAGCTGACGCCATTTTACGAACGCCATCTGCTAGCCAAAGCCGAACACGGTGTGTCAGATCGGCTGCCTCCGGCGGTGCGCCGCTGGCAAAGATGATGAAGCTGAGACACGCCGACGGCGATTGAGCAAGCAACAGCACCGCGGGACGACTGCAGCGGCGGCATTTATTGGGATCAAAGGCGCGAAATAAGCAAGAACAATTTTATTTCAATCATAACACTCCATGTCCAAGTTGGGGACCACATACCTTTGCTGGGTTTTTCCTGTGAACTTTTTACAGACACGGAATGCCGCGTTCAGAAAATAGCTGCAAAATATGGGGGCCATGAAAAGGGTCGTTTAGACCGCTACCAGAGCCGACTGACGTAACGAGCGCTTGACAAACGGTTGGCGCATAAGTCGTCTTTATGCACGCAGGCGGGCCACGGGCTCAGCATCACTCGAAGTCACCGGGGCCGTCAGAATCCTCGTCCTCCGCACAATAGGGAAGGTCCCTGTCAGCGTCGGGGCTGTAGATATTGGCGGCTGCGGCGACGAGCGACTGGAATCTATCAGTGTTTCCGTGCGCATTCTCTCTCCTCCAAAACATGAACTTTGGAAGGTGACCAGTGAAATGGTGGCTCTCGCGCCGTCCAGATGGAAGAGAGTTTTTGATGTGGGCCCAGGTGCCCTCCACCGTATTGGTGTGCGCACCAGTGTTCGGGTCGAGAAAGTGCAGCTTGTGGCTGACGGTGAGGTGCGCGAAGCGAGCGTCATTTGCAAGCTTGCGATAACCAGCCCGACAGTCAGTGATTATTCTTGTTCCAGGACGGACCCACTCGGCTATTAGCCCTTGCAAGATTTTAGCGTCACGGGTCTCTACGGGAACAAGAAAGCAGCACCCGCTGCCACGCTCCACACCGCCGAGAACCCACTGGTGAGGCCTTAAATACCCGCGATGGTACTTTCGCCGCCCGAACATACTCTCGTCTAGTTTTTCAGTTGCGCCTTCACCGCCAATCATCTCTGAATGCGTAAAGACGGCATTTACTACAACCTCCCGACAAAGGCTCGTTCAATCAGTTATTGTCTTACTTGCTACATCAGTCTTCCGCTGAATGACGGCGCACAGTAGTTTCTGGCACCATAGGTAGATGATATTCATGAGAACCCAGGAGCAGGCCCATGCCCTGAAGCCAATTAATTGCTTTAAGAGGGTCTTTCATGGCGTCATGAAAACGGCACAACTTCCCCGGTATGGCACTGCGCGGCTGGCCTCTAAAAGAATAACGTGATGAGGGGGAAGTGCGCGCTTCTTTGCATTTATTATTTGTATTTGATCCGCCATTTTATACCTCGTGACACCATTCTTACAAACTCATTGGTTAATCAGTTGGACCACAGCATCCCGTAACAAAACAAGAGCCAATCGTATGACCAGAACGGTGGCCACGGTCGGCATCGTTACAAAGAAGAGAGCAGTCGGACCCAACAACAAAATGAAGTAACAAAGCGAATACAAATTAAAAAATAAATAAGAAGGGAGCCGTTCTCGGGCGGCGTGTTCTTAGATGAGAGGTGTTGCTCGCAATGTTCCTTGTTTGTTTTCTTTTTTGTTTCTTTACCTCCTCTAGAGGATGCCACAACCCTTATTTCAAGCTGAAATCTTAATTCGATCAATAAGAAACAACGCGTTGGAACGAAGGAGGGAGGGAGTCTTGGCGTCAGAATTCGACGTAGTCTAAATGAAAAGAAAAGTAAGAACACACAATCATACTGTATGCCCAAGACCGTTATACTCCGCACTCGACGAGGCCTCATGACGTCGCCAACGTCCGTAAGGCTATTTATTTTATTTTTTTAGATTTTTTATCGCGACGACCACTCCACCGTGACTCAGAGTTTCCAGCGTAGGTCCGGAAGTTTTTAATAACTATTATTATTGTCGTTTGAAGGATACTCTTCGTATGCTGCAGCTTCGTTCCTGACGCCATAAAAACATAATTTCTGTCCAGAATACAGGCGCGAAAAATCCACACTGACTAGGGCCTGAGTAACAACCCTGCATTACTCAGGCCCTAGTCCGTTTGGATTTTTCGCGCCTACAATCTAAAAAGAAAGAATGGCATACACACACATCACACGCGTACGCACTCAAAGTTGGTCCAAAAGTCCAGTGTCCTCGACGTGTTTTTGTAGCGCTTGCAAAACGATACACTGATACCGCCAAGTGTTCTCCGGCCCAGGATTTTGGTGACAATAAATGGCCTATTTTGGTCCAGCAGTTGCAGCGTTCTTCTCATGTCTTCTCGTTGGATGTTGTACTTCACGCATGCACGCAAAAAAAAGCTAATAACAAATCTAATTCTTTAGACGAATTATTATTGGACTAATTTTTTGGACTAATTGTATCTACATACTAATCCGACCATGAACTAAACTTTTTATATATTTTTATACGTGGCGCAAACTTTTTTCGCCCATATTTTTGTGGCTTCAGGAACGAAGCAGCATACGAAGAGTGCCCTTCAAACGACAATAATAATAACTATTAAAAACTGCCGGGCCTCCGCTGGAAACTCTCAGGTACGGTGGAGTAGTCGTCGCGATAAAAAAATCTAAAGATTCAAAATAAATAGAATACGGTCGTCGGCGGCGTCATGAGGCCTCGCCGAGTGCGGTGTATAACGGTCTTGGGGCGAGTACGGTATATATTGTGCATTCCTACTTTTGTTTTAGACTACGTCGAATTATGACGCCATGACTCCTTCCGTCCTTCGTTCTAACGCGTTGTTTGTTGAATTAACAAATCAGCCTTAAATAGAAGTCGTGGCATCCTCTAGGCTAAATAAACAAAAAAGAAAACAAACAACTAACATTGCGAGCAACACCTCTCATCAAAGAACACGCCGCCCGAGAAAGGCTCCGTTCTTATTTTTTTTTATTCACTTTGTTATTTTATTTTGTTTTGTTGGGTCCGACTGTTCTCTTCTTTGTAACGATGCCGACCGTGGAAACCGTTCTGGTCATACGATTGGCGTTTGTTTTGTCACGCGATGACATGTTCCGACCGATTAACCAATGAGTTTGTTAGAATGGTGTCACGAGGTATAAAATGGCGGATCAAATAAAAATAATAAATGCAAAAAAGCGCGCAGTTCGGCTCGTTTAGCCCCCTCGGCGCTTTATTCTTCCAGAGGCGAGTGTCGCAGTGCCATGGCGTTTAACTTGTGCCGTCTTCATGACGCCATGAAAGACCCTCTTGAAGCAATTAATTTGCTTCAGGGCATGAACCTTCTCCTGGGTTCGTTTGCGTGCCCAGAGTGCCAAGCTGCGATGACGCTGCAAGTCCGCGCTTGATCTGCGAATGGTTATTCGTGGAGGTACGGTGTGTGGATGACTCGTGAAGTGCCCAAGAGGAAGCCGGTCAAGGTTCAGTGCCGGGGCGAGGTCGCGGTACGGAGCAGTTCCTTTTTCGAGGGATAGCACCTGACGCTTCCCCAACTCATAAAGATCATCTACCTTTGGTGCCAGAACTTACCGTGCGCCGTCATTCAGCGGGAGACTGATGTCGCAAGACAATAACTGATTTGACGAGCCTTTGTCGGGAGGTTGTGGTAAATGCCGTCCTTACGAATTCAGAGATGATTGGCGGCGAAGGCGTGACTATAGAACTAGACAAGATTATGTTCGGGCGGCGAAAGTACCATCGCGAGTATTTAAGGCCTGGCCAGTGGGTTTTCGGTGGTGTGGAGCGTGGCAGCGGGGGCTGCTTTCTTGTTCCCGGTGAGACCCGTGATGCAAAAACCCTGCTAGGGCTAATAGCCAAGTGGGTCCGCCGTGGAACAAGAATAGTCACCGATTGTTGGGCTGGCTATCGCAAGCTTGCAGATGACGCTCACTTTACGCATCCCACCGTTAACCATAAGCTGCACTTTGTCGACCCGAACACTGGTGCGCACACCAATACGGTGGAGGGCACCTGGGGGGCTATGTTGCACGTTTTGAACTCCCAGGAGACTAGGGAGAAGGAAGTGACGTCAATAACGCAGGAAATGCAGATTGGATGTTGATGATGTTTTCACCTGTCAACATGCAATCTGCGTTCGCTCTAGTCGTTGACATCACTTTCTTCTTCCAAGTCTCCTGGGAGTGCAGGGCTCACGTCAAAAACTCTCTTCCATCTGGACGGCGCGAGAGCCACCATTTCACTGGTCACCTTGCAAAGTTCATGGTTTTACGGAGAGAGAAGGCGCGCGGAAAAACTGCTAGATTCCAGTCGTTCGTCGCCGCGGCCGCCAAAATCTATACAGCCCCGACGCAAACAGGGACCTTCTCTATAGTGCGGAGGACGAGGATTCTGACGACCCCGGTGACTTAGAGTGACCCGCTGCGCTGAGCCCGTCGCCCGCCCGCGTACATAAAGACGACCTTTGCGCCAACCGCTTGTCAAGTGCTCGTTACGTCAGTTATATATGTTTTGGTAGCGGTCTAAACGGCCCTTTTCAGGGCCCTCATATTTTGCAAACGGAGCTCTTTTCTGAATGCGGCACCCCGTGTCTCTGTAAAAAGTTCACAGGAAAGACCCAGCAAAAGTATGTGGAACTTGGATATTGTGCGTTATGATTCAAACAAAAATTGTTCTTGCTTATTTCGCGCCTTTGATCCCAATAAGTGCCCCCGTTGCAGTCGTCCCGCGGTACTGTTGCTTGCTCACTCGCCGTCGGCGTGTCTCAACCTCGTCCTCTTTGCCAGCGGCGCACCGGCTTTGGCTAGCAGATGGCGTTCGTATAATGGCGTTTGCCGATGCTGGCTTCACGCGGCGGTACCGCGCGTGCTTCCATTCATTCGACGTTTGTTGCCATGGTGACTACGATGAAAGCAGATAAACTTTATGTTGCGGAAGAACGCTGCGGCACAGCGATACCAGGTGGGTTCTAAAGGCCCGACCACACTAGCGTGAACGGCGCCGCCGGGCGGCGCCGCCGGGCGGTACCGCCGTCCGGCGTCCCAACGCGAGGAGTCCACATTGGCCTCCGTTTTGCAGCGTCACGTGACAGCACTGGTTCCCGCCAGTTCCCGCGATCGCGCCTCCCGTCGGATTTCCCGCTCTTTCGTCGTCTGCTCTTCGTTAGATTCTTCCGTTCCGCACTCGCTGTCTAGACGGTAAGAGTTCATAATGAGCTGGTGATCAGCGTGAATGTGATTATCCTAACCTGCTCGTTGATCTTGCGACGTCGCCGCGCTCTGAAGGGAAGGAGGCGCAGGTTTTGGGTCCGGCCGGGTTGGTTCTACCGAAACACCGAAGGACAGGAGAGGTCTGGCGCGCCGCCGGGGCTGTGCTGCCCCGGCGGCGCGCCAGAGATAAAGGCTACTTTCGAAAGTGTCACCAAATCAACACGACATCCGTCACAACAGAGACGACATGCAACAAGTGCCACGGAGAAACTCACTTGTAATTCCGAATTGGTTAGTTTCAAGGAACCGCTCCGTTGGGGAAGGCATCGGGGGGAAATAGGGGGAGCAGACGACACCAAACACGTCCTTCGCTTCGAGAGGCGCCGAGGACCGGCTTGAGCGTTGCCATGGCATCGCGACGTCACTATCTACGCCACCTCCCATTGGCTCCTCTCTTCTGCGGCGTGCGGCGTCAAGCTCTGAACCGCGCACGGAGCGGTTGGGTGTGCGGCGCCGCACGTCGTGACGTTGAAGCCGAAAACTGGTTTCCGCCGGCAACCGGCAGCGACGACCGTCGCGCCGCAGGCCTCCGAAACGCCAATGTGGTCGCGCCTTAAGGCCCTTCCCGCATGCTTTTCAATGGGCGGAAGGCAAACAAAAAGAGTTCGAAATAAGGACTTAACGCAGAATGCTGCATTTCTCCAGTGCCTCATAATTTGACGAGCCTTGCACAAAAAGCATGTTTTTAGACCAGAGTTGGAAGATAGCTTTTTTTTTTTGTACAACAACATGGGTCTAATGTATTAATGGGCGAAAGTTTTTTTTGTATGGTTGTCAAGTGTCAAAGCAAAGGGCGCCATTAGAAAAGGTAGGTAAAATTAGTGATTGTTGTAAGCAAGCTTGATTCTTTCAAAAGAAATCAGATTGTTTTTGTGATCATTCGCCAATAAAGGCACTCAAGTACAAAATTACAAAAATTATCGATTACTAGTAATTTGATTACTTGTAACGAGTACAGTAAAATTCTAAGATAGAGGTGCTTGAACAAGGCCGGAAAGGGGGCTGAAATTTTACCTAGGCTTCACGTATCTCCCGACAGAGGCGCTCTCGGTTCAGGGTTCCCGCGTAGGCGCAGTCGCACGCCGCGCGGACTTGAAAATGTGTGCGCGAATGAGAACAGTTCCTTGAGCTCAAGTCACGATGCGCCATCTCCGGTCGTTTGCAAAAAATAAGAGTGAATCTTGGAAACACTTGTTTCATGGCCTCTCCCCCCCCCCCCCCCCCCCCCCCCCCCCAAGAGGGTGCCCTTCAGACCACTCTCACTCTTCTTCCCCCTTGGTACCGACCTCTCTTTCCTGAGCAGAATGTAAGGGCACAAGTGAGCTGGTGTATATCAAACATTTTAGCGAAAAACCCGAGACCGTGGTACTGACAGACGACGACAAGGAAGAGAAGGAGAATGTCTCAATCCAGAAACAGCGAGGTTACATTTATACTGAAACTTATTGGAAGGCAGGACAGCAAACATCCCCGATTTGTCTGTTTCAAGAAACTTCCATCTCTTTCTCTTCGAACTCTTTCTTAACCCGGGTTACCATCCTAAAGTTTCAAATGTTCTCCTTCTCTCCTATATTTATTGGTTAGAGAATGGTTGGGTGGTTCTTTCGTTGGATGCTCAAATTACAGCCTAGTTACTCAACATTGTTCACCTGGTTGATGGTCGATTGAAAGGTGTATAGCAGAACGTCGGGAAAATGTTTTCCAGTATCACCTCGATAAAATCTCACGAACCAGTGGAGGGAAGACGAATTTGTCCGTTAGTAATTTACCAGAACCCTTCGTTATATAGTTCTAGACCCTGCTATAAGTATAAAATCGTTGTGCATAAGAATAGAATGACATGACATTTTCTGTTTCCCTCTCAGGTTAATACCTCAGACTTTGACAGCGCCAAGAGTCCCATTGAGGACGTTTCTACTGCCGTCAACTTACGGGTAATCCCATCATCGTAACATGTTTAATAGCCCGGGTACAACAATTCACGTTTTTGACGTTAGTTATTATTTTTGTAAAAGTTGGTTTTTATTGGAAAAAGAAAATGTTTGTTTATCGGAGCCATATATGCAATTTCTGTCCACTGGGGGATCATGGCTCGTTCCGTTTTCTCCATTACAGCATGGACCAAATGACCTGAATCTATTTTAAATAAATCACCAAACGCTGCTATGTGCTATGCCTTACTTGACCGTCTTTACTGGGGTGAAGCACTAGGTCGGACATCCGCTGGATTTAACAGATTTATACGTTTCCTCTCGTGCGCGTGTGCTACTTGCATAAGCTGATGTTGAGATTTCTGTATTTACCGATTTCGCTCCGCTCTTTACAGGACACGGTTCAGAACGCCCTTACAAAAATTATTGATCCAGTTGTTGAAGGTAACTTTTGTCGTTTGTTTCCTTGGTGGGACTTAAGGCACTTAGTTCTTCACAAATTCAAACTTTTTTTAATGAAAATTGAGTTTGGTGCTGAATGAACAAACTAGTTTTTTTGTCATCGCGACAATAATCTACGCGTGGTTCACCGTTCAGTTTCCTCTCAAATGTATACGCTAGCGGCCCGAACCATATGCTAGTTTCAGAACACATTTTTATCTAATTCAAAAGTTATAAGACATTTCTCGGGAGATTTTTAAGTGTAATGTGGTGATCGACAGATCCCAGGAATACATGAAGCTGGATGGCGCAAACTAACGAGAATGGCCTCACTTTCTTTTTGAAAGTTCGGGAAATTCACATATAACTAGTTTTAAACAAGATAACGAGTTGTTCTTAAACTTTGACATCTGGTCCGGCCCGCTAGCACTGAAGTTTAAGGAAGATTGAGGGTTTGGGAATCCGTACGTTATTGGTGCAGTAAAAAAAAAAAAAGATTTAATGTTTTTTTTATACATTTTCGGCTTAAACTTTTTTTGGCGAGTATAGGGTCCTACGTCTTTTTTATTGTATGCTTAAGATTGGGGGGGGGGGGGGGGTTCCACACCGAAATGTGCAAGCTCAAGCTTACTGCTCAAGCACGCACCTGAACTGTATCTCTGCTGAAACAGACAAGATACAGCTCAGCAACGGCAACTGCCAACGCTACCAGCTTGAGCTTTTACCTTTCTCTGCGCAAAAACTTGCTCTAAAACAGGGTTATGACTGGTGCATCTCGTCTGAAAACTTACCGAGTTAAAATTAAATGTGCAGGCGCTAAAAACGTCATCAAGACTGTGGGCAAAGGCCTGTCGACCATCAACGACGTCTTCGTCTTTGAATCTTTTGCTAGCCAGGACAAGGCAGACGCCTTCTTCGAACCGGTTCGCAAGACACTCGACAAGTCAGCTCACTACGGTGACTTATACATTGCGCTGTCGGTGTTCATCCTGGTCGTGTTGAGCGCAGCGCTCGTCTGTTACCTTACGGGCCTATGGTGCATCATCATCGCGAACAACACTGACTGCTCTCACCTCATCACTGTCGGTGTCTTTCTGTTCTCAATTACCTTCCTGCTGCCCATGATCACGTCGACATTCGCGCTGTGCCTCGGCTTTGTGGGACAGCGAACCCTCTGCGACATCGTGAGCGACCTGAGACAACCTGAGGTCCAGACGCTCGTGCGAGGCGTCATGATTCTGGTGAGGAAAACAGAAGAATCCCAGTCACGTGTTCTTCTGGACCAGCCCTGGCGGCCGACATGGCCTGACAGTTTAGAGGGTCGAAGGTTCAGCACGATTTCTTCTGGACTGGGCGGGTCCTACCAGGAGGCGTCGAAGGCTTGGACGACGAAGGGGAAGTCTTGGCTAGTCTGGCCCGTGGGACATAGAGTCTTCAGCGATCTCTGGTTGCTGAGGACGGGAATGTCTGTGTCAGCAGAGGTCAGGTCAGATAGGGCACCAAAAGCTGAACCCCAACTGTTGCAACTAGCCGCAAGTTCAAACGTTACGGTTTCCAAGGGACTCGCTAAAGTGATGACTCCCACCAAGGTCACCGAGATCCTACGCCGGTTCAGCGAATGCGGTGACAAGGACCTCAGTGCCTTCAATTTGATCGGTAGTAACACCGTCATCGAGCTATTTAATTTGGTCGTTCCGAGCGCCAAGAACTTCTCGTGGCTCTTTGACGACACCAAGAGTCTTCCTATTAAGGTGACCAAAGAACTGGATCGAGCACTGCAGGATCTGGCGAACGGCTCGCTCGAGAAGTTTGTGCCTGACCTGCCCACTCTTGAACGAAAAGTGCGAGCGGTCAATATGACCAAGCTCAACATATCTGACGTAAAGGGGAAGGTGAGCGATGAACGTCGTTTTCTTATTCAAATTGACGGTTTAAGCATTTTGGGTTTATTAGCGGGGTTCTGTGTTTTAGGTAAATACCGATAAAGCCTGATAATTAACCCCTTTTGCTAACTGCTATTTTGGTACCTTTTTGGATACATGGGCGGTTTATGTACACTGTACGCACCAGCCGAAGTATGGCGCCTGGAGCGCGTTTTTGACTGGTGTGTTTACCGCATCCTAAAAATTGGTCAATCGATTTTTACCTGATGACGTCGTAGAAGCTTCGTGTTGTCACCGGCCACGATCCTGGCGGTGTTACAGCATCGGTGGTAGACGTGGCAGAAACCTGTTCTCCTGTAGGTCGCTGACCAGCGTTACGGTCCACGGAAGCTTCTGCAGTCAGGAGTTGCAACGTGGTGACGAGAGCGACACTCGCGTTCACTACTTTTTGCCGCCACTTATCGCCCCAACCGCCAGGATCGCGACATCCGACGACATGACAACCCATCTCCTGTGACGACATCTGTTGCCACTTGGGACCCCTTTGGTGTATCAGTGGGATAGGATGCTTAGCACCCCAGTCGATCGAAGACGCGTTCCAGACCCTGTAATTGTGACAGTGGCGACAATGAAGGTAATGACGATGACGATCACAACGTATTTCAGTTGGTAGCTGCAAAACCGGATGGCCGTATAGAAACCGTCAAAAAAACGATCGGAGCCGCCATTGCTGCGGGGTATCCCCAAAAGGTACGTCATTAAGAATTCCGCCAGGACTGTGTTCCCAGACGCTTTTTAACGCGATAGCATTAAGGACTTCGTGTCGCAGAAAATTCGGCGTCAGCGTCGTTGTCAGATTCGGCGGGACCGGAACATTCTGATTGGTCGATAGGGTCATGACGCGAGAGCCACGTGTGACGTGACACATGGCGTCACGCCGCATAACCTCGCGAGAGAAATTCAAACAACCCGCAACTCTGACGTGTGACGCCACGTCTTACTTCACACGTGACGTCACGTGGCACATGACGCTACCAACTAGGCCATGCATACACACTTGCACGGCTTGGGAACGAGCGCGGGTTCATATGAGAAGGCTTTGCGAACGGGGCCCGATGACGCTATCGCGTTCCTTTCTTAAAGGCGAAGCTTAAGCGCCCCCCAAGTTTTTTTTTCTTTCTATTTCGAGGTGTATGTAAGCAAAACTCACTTCCCGGTATCCTGTGCAATGCCACGGCCACTCGATTAGGACTCCCCTTAAAGTCCTTAAAAGTGCCATGTGGGGAGATCTGCTGTTTCAGTACATACCCTTTAGATTCCATCCGTTACGCTCATAACCAATGAAACGCGGCTTAAGTTGGCTCTACACGCTATATATAAATTGTAGAAAGATATACAGCCAAATGAGCGGCGTTCGTCACCTCAGGATGCGGCGGAACTATAGACCACGTGACCTGCCCCGCGTCGGCGTTAGCAAAACAGTGCACGCCCTGAGCTCCAAACGTCGGGGGGGGGGGGGGGGGGGGGTTATTCCCGTCGTGCAGTGATTTGACACGAGCCTTCCTCGAATGCTGGTCGGGGCGTTGACTGTCCAGAGCCAAATCTAGCATATTCCCATCTAGGAGCCGCATTTAAATATCGCCACCGTGGCTAATCTTTATGACTGCATGTGTCAACTCTGCGATACCCTTGATACTGTGATCAAACGTCAATGAGATGTGCAAACGAGAGAATGAGAGAAAAATTCCGCTTTTATCCTTTAAGGGACTACGAAATGATTTTAGAGCGCAGCTCTTAAGCGCCCGTTTTCGGCTTCAGCGGCGTCGCCGTCGCCGTCGGCGTAACCGCGCGGTGCATTATGGGTAAATTTCCCCGCTAAATCTAGCGGAAAACTTTCCCGCTAAATCTAGCGGAAAAATTTCCCCGCTAAATCTAGCGGAAAAATTTCCCCGCTAAATCTAGCGGAAAAATTTCCCCATTACATCTAGCGGAAAAATTTCTCCGGGGGTCACGTGACCTAGGGAGTCACGTGATCCCCCAGGTCACGTGACCCCCCCCCCCCGACATCACGTGAGTACCCCCACCCCCCCCGAGAACACGTGACCCTTAGTACTCTTCCCTCCTCCTCCTCAAGGGCTGCGCTCTAATTTATTTATTTATTTATTGAGGTTACCTGCATCGCCTTGGAGTCATTATTGCAGGGAGAGGTTTACAAAGAACAGTTCAGCTGAAAACACAGATGGAAACACATTTCCGTTAAGCATGTTCCATTCTAATGCAGTTCGAACAAAATATGATTTACAACAAGAGCTAATGGTTGCAACTTTGTATTGGTGGTCCACCAATACAATTTGGCGTTACAGGGAGTTGTAAACGGCTTTCACTTTTAGAGCGCAGCTCTTAGGTGCCCGTTTCCAGCTTGAGCGGCGTCGCCGTCGCCGTTGCCGTCGGCGTAATCAAGGTCATCCCAAGGTCACGTGACCCCTAAGGTCACGTGATTCCGCTTAGAGCACAGCTCTTAGGCGCCCGTTTCCGGCTTGAGTGGCGTCGCCGTCGGCGTAACCAAGGTCATCCCAAGGTCACGTGACCCCAAGGCCACCCCAAGATCGCGTGACCCCCCCCCAAGGTCACCTCAAGGTCACGTGACCCCCAAAGTGACCGCCATGTGACCCCTTGAAGGTCACGTGACCCCGAGGTCACGTGACCCCCCCGGAGCATATTAAAGAATGAGGGGAGGAGGAGGAGGAGAAGGAGGAGGGGTCTACCCTCCCCTCAGTACCCTTGACTCCTCCTCCTCAGGAGCTGCGCTCCAATTCGGCGTTACAGGGAGTTGTAAACGGCTTTCACTTTTTCAACTTCTTCCTCCTTAGCTTTAATCCTAACTCAAAAGCGAAATGAAAAATCACGTGTTCGTGACGTGCATTGGAACCGGAGGTGATGAACCCAAGCTTCCTACATGTTTTCAAAGCACACCATGGAACCTGTCATTCTCAAGTGTTCATAAGTGCCGTCACCGTATTCGTTGGCCACAAGCGCGAATTCAAAATAGTCGTAGACGGATTGATTGTTGACGAACGCATACGTCAGAGTTACGCAGTGCTCGTGTCCAATCTATGAGCTAGGCTCGGCTGACGTACTTGGGCGCCGCGGATGCATCACAGTAAAAAGGCGGACAGCTATCGAAGGCAAGGATGTACGAAATAGTCTTCACAATTATGCGATAGCATTTTTTAGCTGCCCTCCGGAGTTTTTGTACTTTATGGCCTCCTAATGCGCAGCAGACCCTTCATATCACATTCTTACACTGCTTCATATTCGAACCCTCTTCAAAGGACCTGACGACCTTGACGTCGTTCTAGAGGTCGTCTAAGGCGTCGTCCTAGAGGTCGTTCTGGAGCTCACCCCAGACAACGTCTTCGACGCCGTCCTAGAAGTCGCCTGGACGTCATCAAGGACAACTTTCTAGAGGACGACGTCTTCTATGGCGTCGTTAACGACGTCGTCCTTGAGGTTGTCTCAGAGGTCGCCCTTGAGGTCGTCCTAAAGGTCGTCCTTATGATCGTCCTGAAGGTTTTTCTAGACGCCATCCTTGAGGTCGTCCTAGAGGTTGTCCTTGAGATCACCCTAGAGGTCGTCCTAGAGATCGTCCTAGACGTCGTCTTTAATATCGTCCTTGAGCGTGCCCTAGACGAATGCAATCCATTGACAACAAACGATAGTGATTTCTGCAGCAATTGCTTTTTTCAAATTTTGGTTCTGAAAAGCAGTCTTGAGGCTTTCTGCCTTCGTGCACTAGTTTTATTTTGGCGCACTAAACGATATGCGATTAGAAAATCCCAATTTGTCACATCCGGAAATTCATTCTATGGTCCCTTTATAAGTTTGTTGTAAAAAAAAACAAAACAAGCTTCATGTTGAATGGCGTTTCGTGCTTCCGTACTTGGGTCACTTAGGACTAGCAAGCTTCTATAAACCAACAATGTAGAGGGCCTTAAAGCGATGAACTAACAGCTGAAAATGACCCCCAGTTGGCCGCCGCGATGTTGAACATTTTTTACAACTAGACACGTGACCTTATAGTTTTACGTCTAGACTTTAACGAAGTAATGCACACAAATAATTGCTTAATAATCTTTAATAACCGTATCAACGAGATAAGTTATGTTCCGTTTGTTTTAAGTACAAAATGTGCGACAAAATATCGGGAAACTTCGCAATGCCTCCGTTGTATGCCGTCAGCCGAGGCTCTGTATTTTCGATTTTTATCGGCGCTGGACGCTGATTTCTGGGGCTATTAGTATTGAAAAAATAAAGATTGTTCATAATGTTTTTAAAGCGTTCGCAATACAAATCTCGGCTCAGTTTTGTGTAAAAGCCTCAGGATTTGGCACGGTCACGTGTCTAGTCAAAATTGTACATCGTGGCGGCAGCCATGTGGGGGTCACTTTTGCTTGGTGAGCGAGATACCAGTTTATTCCCCTAAGACCTTCTACCTCGTTGGTGTAAACTGATAAATTTCCCAAACCAAGATTGTGAAATGAAAAGTTACAGAACCACCATAAAAGGTTCTGAGTGCTTGAATCTGACAGTGTTTAATGAAATAAACTTTCCCCAAAGAACAGAAACAGCCTTTTCAGCGCAGTGTTAACAGCGCAAGACACATTTTGAATTGGAAACGATACTGATGTTTGAGAACGTCGTTCACCCACAAAATAATTTTTTGAGGATGTTTCCTAGATACACTGAACTTCTATAATATACCAGGTGTTCTAACGCAGACTTCAAAAATAATACCAATAGATGCGATTGAGGAAAAAACTGCCTTTGTTTGGAAAGGAACTGCCAACCAGGGCGGATGTTATGGATTGCAAAGAAATACTAATTAGCTAATGATTTAGCTAAAACTTACTAATTATCTTCTTGTTTAGTAAAACGAACATTTCGCTCAAATTACAAACTTGCTGAGCGTCATCGAAACTCCCTAAATCAGTTCATTTGAAGACGGTTTGAAACGCGGTGTGTGCATAAGTTGGCACTCGTGCATTAGGCACGAGGCTGTAGCGAAGCAAGAACGCCGGTGATATTCTTATCATCGGCGATTT